AAATAAATTTGTAAAAATATGCAAAAAATTACATTAGCTATATTTTAGCATAAATATAAAAGTCCAACAAATGAATTACCAAAATAATAATTTTTGAAGCAATTATTGGGTTTTTATGGATAAAAAAGGGAAATAAATTAGTTTAAAAACCTTTAAAAATTATGAAAAAATAATAAAACACTTGGATATGCTTACATATGCATANACAGGTGCACGCCGCAGCGAGATATTGAAGATGCCTTCATTGGCTTGTTATAGCGCTTGGGCTAAGAGATGCCCCTCTAGAGTCTTTACACCCCTAGTTAGCATAGTTGATATTATTGAGGTATGGATCTTCCCTAGACATGGATCTTGTCCGAAGTACTTATTATTTGGAGATGGATCTTTTCTATGATGGCTGGATTGGCCTATTCCTCGGTATTGGAGACTATTGGTCTGTGATGTGTATATATTCTGGGATGGATCTTCCCCGGTCCTTGTGAGTCATATACAATACCGAGTGATTGTAAGGTTGTTATTGATATTATCTGGAGATGGATCTTCTCCATAGGCTTGAATGGCCTTCCTCAGTATTAAGTGACTGTTGTCAGAGATGTATATATTCCGGGATGGATCTTCCCCGGGTCGTACGCTCCATACACAGTACTGAGGGGGCAAGCATTTGAGATTTCGGGCACATGAGGCACTCATCATGGTGCATTTCATACAGTATGTGCATTGACATGTAGATGTAGTAGAGTCACACTTCTTTACCTTGTTCATACTTGCTTTATTTTAGTGTTCGAGCTGTTCTATTTAATTGAAAGAATTCCTATGTTTCTGTACATTATTTTTGTTATCCTTGAGGAGGTTGAGTTCGTCACTACCTATTAGTCCAAAGGTTGGACTTGTTACTAACTGAGCTGGTGTACTCTCGTTACCCTCCGCACCTCGTGTGTAGATTCAAGCACTTTGGATTCAGTGGCAGTGGTTGATCGAGGCTTCTGACTTAGGAGATTATTGAGGTACCTGCATGGCATTCGCAGGCCTTGGCTCTCCACCTTACTTTCTAGTTGTATTTCAGTTGTTTTCTTAGACATTTATATTAGACTATGTATTTTCCTTAGACGCTTATGCACTCAGTGACACTCCAGTTTTGGGCTGGATTGTATCTATTTCAGTAAATTTCTTATGTTCCAAATAGTTCCTTAACTTTTAAAAGATTCTGTAAATGTTTTCAAACTTATTATTATCGTGTTGATTGTTGAGTTGAGGCTGACCTAGTTTCACGATAGGCGCCATCATGACGGGTCGGGTTTTAGGGTCGTGATAGTAATACTGAATATGATAACCACAGGGTAAATGTAAAAACTATAGCTTCTCACTTTAAGACAGGGTTGCAAGATAATCCTAAAATTAAAATTAAGGAGATGATGGCAACTGTAAAAGCTGCATTTAACATCAATGTTAGTCATTCAAAGTATAAGAGAGCCAAGAGAATGATCTTGGAGAAAATGGAGGGTAGTTTTGCAGATGATTACAACAAGCTTGAGGCTTCTGCTAATGAATTAAGGTCTAGTAATCCAGGAATAGATATGGTGATTAACATATCAAAGGATGCACTTAGTGAAGGAAAAAGGAGATTTTTAAGAATGTATATATGTTTTCATGCATTGAAAATGGGGTTTAAGAGTGGGTTAAGACCATTTATTGGCTTGGATGGAACCTTTTTGAAAGGGAAATACAAGGGTCAACTGTTAGTAGCTGTTGTTCAAGACTCAATAAGGCACTTTTATCCCCTAGCTTGGGATGTTATTGATAAAGAAATCAAAGTGACATGGAGTTGGTTCTTAAGACTGCTACAACATTCATTGGACCTCAAAATGGGAGAAGGGATCACATTTATATCAGATATGCAAAAGGTATGAACCTAACAGTTTAATTGATTTATCTCTTTTACTGATGCATCTCTTTTTATGTTTTCTCATTTTCAGGGTTTGATTGATTCAGTCCACTTGGTTATTCCTGAGGAACACCACAGATATTGTGTAACACACATAGAGACAAATTGGTGCAAAAGATGGGGACATGGGCAATATAAGAAGTACTTTTGGTGCGCTGCATGGAGCACATATGAAGAAGATTTAAAGACCAATTAAGAAATATGGGACAAGTGGATGAAGATGGTAAGGATGTTATTGAAGATTTGATGAAGTACCCACCCCAAAGTTGGAGTAAAGCATACTTTGACACTGTTTGCAAGAACTACTCAGTAGACAACAACCTAACTGAGTCCTTTAATTCATAGATCACAGAAGCAAGATTCAAGCCAATTATCATGGTGCTTGAGGATATTAGAGTAAAAGTTATGAACATGCTAAGGGAACATGAATATACTGTAATGACATGGAGCAATGACTTCAGTCCCCAAACTATGCAACAGTATGGCCAATACTTGAAGATTGCAAATAAGTGTCATGTTCATTCCAATGGTCAAGAAGGCTGTGAAGTGAGTGAAGATGGTGACAGACACACAGTGAATATGGTGGTGAAGAGATGCACATGTAGGATATGGGACCTTAATGGAATCCCATGTCCTCATGCAATCAAAGCAATACAACACAACAAGATGAATCCCGTGACTGAAATACACTGGTGGTACACCTATCTCCTAGCCTATTCACATAAGCTTCAAACAGTAATGGAAGAAAATTTTTGGAAGGTAGAAACTTCTCATGCAATAGAATCACCAGAATTTGTGAAGATGGCCAGCAGGCCTAAAGTCAAAAGAACAATAGAAAAAAATGAAACAGTCAACAAACAAGGTGAATGGATGCAGTCCAAGAAGGGGAGGATAATGAAGTGTTCCACATGTGGTAAGCCTGGACACAATGCTAGGGGCCGTGCAAGGGTAAGGTTCTTTATTTTCAAATACTGTCTATTCTATTTTTTACTTATTTACTCCAACTATGTCTATTTTGTTTCTTTTGTTAAATAACATTCTAAGGGAAAGCAACCAATGGAAAGTAAAAAAAAGGGCAAGCAAGCAAAGAGACAAAGATGTTTAAGAGATGAAGACGGTAATGATGAACAACCTATGTCACCACTTGCTACAAATACACTAGCTGAGAAGGAAATGCAACTTTCAGCACCACAGTTAAGTCAAAGAAGTCAATCAACTCATCCAGTTCAAGACACAAACTTTCGGTTTATGCCAACTCCTTCAGTGCAAAGGAAACATCCCAACAACAGTGTCATTTCAGATTTTGAATTTCCTGATTTTGAATCAGATTCTGCCCCAGATATTAGGCCAAGGAGTTTCTCTGAAGAAAGGACAAGATTGCTTATGAGACAACAAGGAACCTTACCAGCTTTAACAAGGACTATCAATTTTGTTGGTGACTCGTCTGGTGTGAGTGTGCCCTCAAACCTACCATACTCAGCTAAGAATCTCACCTGGAATGGTAAGAAAGCTATAACATGAAATCAGCTTGACAAGATGGCCAAAATGAAGACAAGAAAAGGTAATGGCAAGTCGCAAAAGTAATGTGACTTGAACTGAAGGTGGAAAGTCATTTAAGTGGTGAAAGTTTTTGTGAATTTTAAGTTTAAAAGACTTGTAATTACTGCTATGACAGTATAATTATTATTTTGCTGGTTGATGTAATTACTACTATGACAATACATTTATTTTTGTGGTTGGTGGTATGGACTTCTATGAAATCCATTATGTGAATGTTATGACGGCTGATGTTATGAAGTAGGTGATGTACTATAACAGTTGAAGTTATGATTTCTGTCAATGTTAATAAATTCTGAATAGTTTGTGGTAAGAATTTTCAAGTTCGTCTTGTTCCCTTTATTCTAATGTACTATTACATTATCTTCTTGTTAATACAGATTGAACACATAAGGATATGGTAAATATGTAACTGCTGCTATAGTAGGTATTTGTGCAGATTAACACCTACTAATTCAAAGTGGAGAATGATAAAAATCGAAGCCTCATATTCATTCACCATTTCGGGCCAAAAACAGAAGCATCATACTATTACATCTTCAATTGGAGTATCATTCTAATTGGAGATACTCCAATTCTTAAGAAACTAGTTCCTTACTTCACTAAGCAATACATGTCAATTCACTACACAAAAAGAGGGCTGAATTAACACAATGTTAATCAACTAAATAAGGAAGAACCATAATGAAATGTACTTCGTTATCCAGGCAACAAAGAATCCAACAAACAATGCCCAAAAGCCAATTATCATCATTATTAATTGTACAACTCTTTCTTCCAACTTTTTGACTTTAGTAGCTTCATATTTATTCATGGCTTCCATGGCAATTACTTTTTTCTCTCAATTTGTCTCTTTCAATCGTAACCACATTCAAAGACGACTTGAATTCTCTTATTTCAAGCTGGGAACCATCCGCGGATATTTCATCTTCCAATTCGAAATAACCACATGAATTATTCTGCCAAAGAACCATTTAAAAGATTTAATTTTTAAATCAAAACATCCAGATATAGTAGAAAGATTAGATAAATTCACATATAATACTTACCTTAGGCCGTGCATATTTATAAAATTTCCTACCGGGGTTAGCGAGAGTGGTTGATGTGAAATGGTTGACAATAATACCATATCGACACATTATTTGAGAGGAAACTCCGCGGCATTGAATCTCACCTGAGAGGACAGAGTAGAGCAAACGAGAGAAAAAGGAATTTGTGCCTGAACCCTAGTTTTTCATCGACTGAATAACGTCTTATTTAATCGATGAAGGAGACTATTTAACGGGTTATAAGGGTGGGGCAGGTTTCTAAAAGAATGGTCAAGAATTACCTAGTTGGCAAATTATTATGGGTCCCGGTGCCACATAGCAAATCTGTTAGGGTTGGGGACAAACTTATATACTATACTAACGGTAGCTATGATAAGTAGAAACGGGTATAAACAAGAATAACTTTCGATAGTATATGTACAATTTTGGCCTTTTTGGCAATGAACATAGTATTGTATTCAATTGGAACAAAGCTAAGTTCAAGTGTTTAAACGACATTTTCTGGCAACTTTAAGGGTGTTAATATGTATTTGGCCAATTTACAAAGAGAATTCAAAGGCTCAAGCTTGAACTTCTTCAACCAGATAGTTAAATTGCTACCATTCCAGTCTACGGCGTAGAAGTGGAAGGAAACGAAGGGAAGAAATGGCTCAAAGAACAAATCAATAGATGCTCTAATTACAAATGGGATCTTGGTTACGTTCCTTTTTCACTCCAGCCGTGAATTGGGTCCCCGTTCAAAACCTCCAAAAATACGGTTAGCAATTCTAATATGTGTTTCCTTTTTTTTATTTTTATCGAATATGCACAGAGATTTTAATCTGCCTTTTAAAATGTATATCTGAGCTTAGAAATTGAATCTTCACGGCAGGTTTAGTGTTTCTTGTTTGATTGACGGGTGTCTAAGGATATAGGAGCAATATGGAAAGTTAATTGAAAATTAAAATTTTGTTCAAAGCTCTTTGGATTTTTTTTTTTTTAATAAAATTCCCTCCCAAGCAATATTTGAATGCTATTGTTTCTAGTGCTGAAATGTAACTTTGGAAGCTGAACCAATCGATAACTGGAATTTTTTTTGGTTGACGGTGGTGCTAAGGCCAGCTTACACGCGCCTTGACTGACCACAAGCACAGTTGTAGCTACAATCCATATTTTGAATTGTCATGAAACAATGACTTATATTCATAAATTTGTTTTTGTACTAGAAGCGTTTGCAGCACTTAGACTATTTGAAGTAATATCTGATTAAGCAGAATGTGAAGGAGCTATGCAGATGTTCCGATATTTGTGTTTTGGGTGTCACAGTCCGTAAATTAGATGGTATGATCAGTTTGTGAAGCTCCAACTTCTTCAAAAGTAGAGTAGAACGAGAAAAATGATATGTATATTATGGCAATGGTTTCAATGCCCGACTTGGGTTATCTCATCATTCTCTATGCTGTAGGCTCCTCTCTGTCTTTAGGAGAGAAGGATGTTATATGAGTTGCTAGTTGCAACTATAGGTTTTTCAAGCAGTTAGTTAAGTCATTCATTGGCTTTGTTTAGCATAGCATAAGTTTTAGAAATTTCTACTTTTACTAGCTTATGCCACTGCTCCATTATTATTAGTTTTACCATTTTTTTTTTAATATAAGACAAAAAAGTTTAGGTAGTTACTAGTAGTTTGGGCGTCTCATAAGGCCCAAACGCTAAAAGATGGTTTTGATTCGAATCAGGTGCAACTGCTGTACTAGTAGTATCAGAATGATTCATGAACCTGATACATTCTTCAACAGACTAGTTAGTTGCAGTGGAAAAAGTAGGAACATAGATACATGAGAAGAAACAATGAACTGTGGTATGACTATCTCTGTTGCATCAACTAGGTTGGGATTGAGGTGTACGTGCTGTCGCTGTTGCTGTTGCGGCAAACTTTGAGGAGATTTTGTAATATCAAGTGATATGAGTTGAGCTTTAAGAAAGATGTGATGATTCATATAGCCGACCCCAACTTGTTTTGGACTGAGGCACAGTTGTTCTTGTTGTTCTTGTTGCATAAGTGACTGTCAACTATCTTTATCTTATTCTGCTGGTTTACTTTATGATAGGTCTTTCCACCTTTGTGGCAGAAAATAGGAGTTCCAGCAACTTTAAGCTTTTCTTATTGACATTAATACTTTTAATAATCAACTCAAATTTCTGCAGTTAGGTGGCCTTGTATTTAAAATTGACAAAAAAAACTCATATAGTTATCTGTATGAGCCAAAGAAAAGCTGCTATTTACCAATTTCAAGATCCAAGTAACTTCTGGTGAACTTCTCTTTTACAAACACTCATACACCACAGCTCTTGGAAGCACTGTCTCACCTCCCCATAAAGTCTCCTTTTAGGTGCAGATAGGATTGAAATGGTGTGGCTTTTCAGGCAGTAGAACGTGGGAATAAAGATATACCAAACAACAATCATCCTGCTTTTATTTTATTTCTTCCAGTTGATTTTATATTTACGCTAGTGAAATTGTTCTACTGCACTTAATGCAATAGACATGATAGAACATTTAATATTGGCTATAGTCATGGCTCTTGTTTGATTTAAGCTGCTATTCTGGTAGGGTCTGTTTTGAATAGCTTCCTACCAGGCATCCTGGCAAATGAGGAGGCAACAAAAAGGTCATTGCAAGATGACACATCACAAAACGTTGAAGACGTACAGAAAATCATAGGGTACCACTTTAATGATCATAATTTACTGTGGCAAGCTTTTACACATCCGTCGTATGATAGGGACTGTATATCTTATGAGCGGCTCGAGTATGTGGGTGACTCGGTTCTTAACCTTATGATCACAAAACAACAGTTTTCCAAATATCCAAATCTCCCACCTGGGTTGTTGTCACCTCTACGTGCTGCAAATGTTGACACGGAGAAGCTTGCACGTGTTGCTGTTAAGCATAGCTTCCACAAGTATTTACGGCATGGAAGGCCTATCCTTACACGACGAGTAAGTGAGCTAAGTAATTAAGGGCATTTGATTTGTCTTTATATTTTTCTTGTATTACTTGTTCGGCAATAACCAGCACGGTTCCTATATTTTAGTATTTGTTTGCTAATTAAGATAGCACGTCGGCATTTGGCTGTTCCGTGTTTCTGTACCAGTGCAAATTGAAGCATTTTCACGTACATATACATGTGGAAGTAACTCAGTTTTCCATGTATTCATAAGAAGTTTTTTCATCCTGATTATTTTTGTAGGGTTTGGAATAAATGTCTGAAGCATAACTATTTTGTTATAGAGCTGTTATGCTTTCTGCTTAATCCTTTCAAAATATCCAAAAAAGTGATTTTTGCCTTATACTTTTCACTCTAAGATCTTTATCATTGACGAAACCAACAGGTAGTTTGCTACTAACCTAATCTGGAGCAATATGAAGGCTCGTACCCGAGTCACAATTATTCACTGCACGACAAGTGCCCGTATTTGTGCTGCTGGCTAAGCAAAGACGCGTGCCAAGAGCTACTTAATAAAATGTATCCATGACCCCCTTACCTAGTTTACCTAGTTCCTTTATCTTATTGAATATTATAGGAATGGAGTATGTAGTAAATTCATTTGCTGATTGGCTTCTCTTATATTACTCGTTAGATGGCTTTCATTTGAACTGCTACTCTACTCTTCATTTCCTTTTAGAGAAAAGAATTTCGAAATACCAATTTCTAACCTCCTCCTGCTATCTCTGCAAAAGTCTCTAGGGCTGAAAAAGAAGTCATAAAAGAAAGCAAAAACAACAGTTAGTGGAATAAGAGGAATATTTAACATAGTTGACCTTAGATTCTTTAAACAGGACTACACTCAAGTAGAGTCTAATACTTCTTGAATTCTTTTTTCCACCTTGACTGTGTTTACTGAAAGTATCTATTAACCTTTGCGATCAAGACGGATGAGAAAGTCTCACTTTACTTCCTTTGCCTATTCTCAATGTCGTGTGGAATTTTTTTTTTCCCATTAGTATGGTTCTCCTTCTTTACTGCTTTACCTTTTCTTAGTGTTTCATTTTCAGGTTCTGTATGTGCCCCTGATCTTCTTCTTCTTGACAAAAGTTATCTATATTCACAGATTCAATCATTTATAAATGTTCTTCCGGAGTATCCATTGCATTCCCATGGATTAATAAATGCTCCGAAGGTGCTTGCTGATGTTGTTGAATCAACAATAGGCGCAGTATTCATTGATAGCAATTCTTCAATTGACACTACCTGGGAGGTATGTTCTTTTTCTCCCCTCAAATACCTAATTCTAAGAGCAGTTCAAATTATTAGCCGTACATGTACCTCTTCATATGTGAAGGCATTGATCACGAGTCATTTAATTGTTTTGTAATTATAGCTTATATAGGTTGCTAGGAGCTAAGGTTCCTACTTGAACCTCTCACCTCGCCCCTCCGCCCTCAAAAAGAAAGCGTAAATAAAGAAAGAAAAGGAAAGAAATAAAGAGAACCGGCAACAGAAAAGGAAAGAGGCCTACCTTTTCCTTTAACTAAATTTTACATGTTGTAGCATGGAAGTCCACTTAGAGCCTATGCAACGCTAGGTTTAGCTTTGGCTTCCATTTCTAGCCTTCTATTGTCTCAAGCATGGCTAGAAAGTAGGCACAGTTTTGTGAATTTATGGCATATAAATTTTGTTAACTTTAGAAAAAAGGAGGAAATTAACAGGGCTCTTTCGCTGAAGCCACTCATCTGATGAATCATACCACCAAGTATGGATAAACTATATATTATGTTACTATCTTATGACTGAAAATTCATGAAGAATCTTGTATGAATCTCTGTGATTGGATGCTGAAGTAGTTACTTTTACTTAACAGAAAAATATGGGAAAAAGAGAACCATTTGAGAATTTGATGAGCTTGGGCGCTAATTTCTTTACTTTAAATTATATCTCCACATGGTCCCATGTAATGTAATTTACAAATAGAAGGTGGCATTGAGGAGGACAAAGATACTTTAAGGGGTCGTTTGGTTACCAGGATAAGGATATTAATCCCTGCATAAAATTTGGGATTATAGTTGTCCCATGTTTGGTTGTGGGTATTAGCTAATACCGGTATAAATTAATGCCGAAATGGTGGTATTAATTATCCTATATAAGAGGTGAGATAGATAATCCCATGGGATATCCCAGAACTGAACCAAACGACCCCCAAGTAGATAAAGAATGTCATTTTGACTAATGAGAAGATTATCATGTGAAGGTTAAGTTATTTAATTTCTGTCTGTGCTTTGTTCTTGATTGTGACTTAAAATGCGTTGCTTGGACAGCATTCTTCTCTTTCCTCGCCTCTTAACGTAAGCTGCTTCTGGTTTTGGACGACCTGTAGGTAGCGAAGACTCTATTAGAGCCCATAATTACACCGGAAATGCTTCAAACAAATCCGGTGAAGAAGCTCCATGAGACCTGTCAGAAGCATAAACTTAAAGTTCGGGTAGTCGATATGTGGTCACATGATGGGAGTTTTGAAGTTTTTATTGACAATCAACTAAGGGGAAAAGGCATGTGCCATGTAAAGAAAGAAATTGCATTGAACAGAGCAGCAAACAGGGCATATAATGAAGTTATTAGAATGCTTAGTGTTGACAATATGAAGATTGCTAATACTTAGCTAATAATCTGGGCTTAGAAATAGAATTATTTGTCTCTATTTTGTTCTTATTGCTCCTCTACAACTTGGGTTACCAAAGTTGAAATACAGACTCACCAACGAGTTTTTGGTAAGTACAGAATTTTTAAAATCTCATCTTAACGTGAGTTAACTTCTATACACTGACAGTATGTAGTTTTTCAACGCCATTGGGTAAGAATGACTTATTATGAAAGGCAACTGTCTATATTATGCCTAATTTGGTAGCTCGCCTAAAAAGTAATATAAAGAACCTATCCCTCTGTATATAAACTAAGTCTTTTTTACTTGCGCATTGGATTGAACACATTAGTTCAAATACAAATTTTCCAACCAAAGGACCCTTGGATTTTTTTTTGCAGCCCGGTACACAAGGCATCCCGCATTCGTGCAGGGTCCGGGAAAGGGCCGTATCCTAAGGGGTATGATGTAGACATCCTACCCTAATACAAGCATTAGTGGCTGCTTTCACAGCTTGAACCCGTGACCTATAGGTCACACGAAAACAACGTTACCGTTGCTCCAAGGACCCCAGGATTCATAGTTTCATATATATCATCCAGCTCTAAATGAAGGGCTCGACGCACCCTTGTATGGTCTGGAGAGGCTTATTTACCTTATAGTTTAGGGGCTTTATATCATCCAGCTCTAAATGAAGGGCTCGACGCACCCTTGTATGGTCTGGAGAGGCTTATTTACCTTATAGTTTAGGGGCTTTATATCATCCAGCTCTAAATGAAGGGCTCGACGCACCCTTGTATGGTCTGGAGAGGCTTATTTACCTTATAGTTTAGAGGCTTTGCCCGTCTTTGATTTCATTGCTTGTTGTTTTGTCTACTTCGATAAGATAAGAATATCCTTTTTTGTCAATGGACAAACAGACATTGTGTTGCTTGGTACACAAGGTTTGAATAGTACAATAGTTGAACTCATTTGACCTGTCAGCTAAGGATCTGGAAATGAAAGAAAAAAGAACTAGCCCAAGACAGAGAAGTTATTATATGGAGAAGTTATTTTGGTATTAAGTATCCTTTTTTTCCTTTTAACTGACCAAGTCAGATCATTACCTAGTCAAGACATATCCTATGGACCTATGTCTTTTGCTTTTTTCGAAATCCAACGGCTTAATTAATTTATACTTGCTTTGCGTATGGCTCATTTAAGAAAAAAATACGTCTTAACAAGAAGTTTTTAATTTTTATAGCTCGAACCGAAAACTTTTAGTTAACGATAATGTAAAGTATATTCGATAACTTTGACATATACTAATCGATATTCTCGAATTTTATGACTATGGAAGAATTGGCTTCTTTCGTGGAGTATGTCATCGGAACGGTTAATAAAGCTTCATAGGTTATTTCACTTCTTCTCAGTTCCAACCAAAATTTCAGTTTAAAAGCATCTATTATATTACTTCTTCCGTTTCAATTCTTCCGTTTCAATTTAGATGAGGTAATTTGACTCGATACAGAGTTTAAGAAAAGAAAACTTTTGAAACTTGTGATTTTAAAAGTCTAAGGGGTAAAAACTTTATAGGGCTATGATATTTGTATGGTTATAAAAGCTTCTCATTAAGTTTAAAATAAGTAAAATAAAGAGTTTAAAGTTGAATAATTTTCAAATTTAGAAATATTTCATTTATTTTGGAACAAACTAAAAAGGAAAGTACCTCGTCTAATTTGAAACAACGGGAGTATTAGTTCATTTATCTGTTTTTAGTCATGAGAAATAAACAACTAGGGAAAGCTCCTATTAACACAGACAAAAATTTAGCTAGGTTAGGCACTAAAATGTCTTTATATATAAATGGTGGTGAGAATATGTTGATATAGCTGATATTGGGGATAATAAAATCAAGGAAGATAAGAAGAAGATGGATCGAGGAAGATAAGAAGAAGAAGGCTGGTGCATTATCTCAACTGATATGAACGAGGTTCTGAACAATGAAGAAAGGAAAATGAACTGGACAGCCTTAAGCTATTTGGGCCTAATATCATTTGGGCCACCCGGTTTTGGGCGGCTGCTGCTGGAAGAGTCCATTAAAGTTTATACACTAGTTATACAGTCAATATACAACTTGTAATGTTTGTTATGGAGTAGACTACTTTTTCTCTTGTATATATATACGTGTATGTACAGAATGTTCAACAATGAATATACTGAAAATACTTTCACAGATATTCTTCAAATCTCTCAAAATACTCCCTCCGATCCATATTAATCTTGGTGGTTGCTAAATATATCTAGTCAAAATAGTTGTCGTTTTGGAAAATCAAGGTATAATTAACTAATTTTTTTCTTAGTATCAAATGTTCTTAAAAATAAACATTGACCAAGTACATACCATAGAAAACCCAAAAGTGAAGAGTATTAATTATTTTTCAAGAAACGTATAAAAAAGAAACACGACAACTAAAATAGACTAGAGGGAACTAAAATAGACTAGAGGGAGTAATAATTTGAGAAGAGGCCGCAATTAAAAGGTCACAAGACATTGAAGACACTGTATTTGCTTCGAGTGCAAGACTTTGGCTTTGACTTTTGGATTTTATACGCTCTGCCCAAAGTCATTTGATTTTTGGATATTAGGTTGAAAACGTGCCCACTCTCTATCCTGCTACTTATCCTCAAATGGACCGGCACTCTAGTCCTTTGTCTAGTCAGGCAATTCTTTCTCCACTTTAATTTGTTTCCTTTTTCTTTTGAAGAATCCACTTAAACAGTTATTCACTCAATAATGTACGTATAACTCTATACTTTATGTATATCAGCTAAATAATTAGCAGTTAATCGCCATTTGTGTGAAGATTCCTCTTCTTGTTTGGCTTTTACGGGGTCAATTTGGATGTGTTTATTACTATGATTATTTTTCAAAATTATTAATATACTATCAAAACATCAATTACTTTTAGCATTTTCTAGTTTTATCAATTTAATAATTCATATGATAAGTGAATTATCGGCTCACATGCCCCAATTAGCTAAAAAGGCAATTAGCATGCTACAGTCGGTAGCAAAATTATAAGTATTAAGCATTTAAAGAAACATATTTATGCATGCTAATTGTATTTGGAAAGCATGAAACTAAGCAGCATTCCTTAATAAAAAAAAAAAAAATTGGGTGTGTTTGGTACCAAGGAAATCATCTCGCAGAAAATAAGACATTTTTTTATAATCAAACACTAAAAGATATTCTTTCTAAAAATATTTTTTAATTTCCTTCAAAAGGTGAAAAGGAAAACGACTTTTTCCTCTTATATTTTTCTTAGTTGATCCATTTGGAATAATTTTTAAACTTTTAGAGTGTTGGATGGTGAGACAAATTTTCTTTTTGAAAATATTTTCCAAAACATTTTTCGAAGAATATCTTTTTCTTCGTATCAAACCTCAACCGAAGAATATATATAATTCACATTGGACAATAGTCATTTGATTATTTCTCTAATATTTAGAAATAGTCATTTAATTAATTCTTTACTATTTAGGAATATTTAATTAATTCTCTACTATTTAGAAATAATCATTTAATTAATTTTCTATCACTTAAAAATAATAATTTAGTTATTTTCCTAATATTTATAACACTTTCCTAATATTTAGAACTTTAAAATTAACTAAAATATTGGTTATTAAATCATTTCCATTTAAATTAGATATGAAGTCTTAATATTTAAATATTTAAAATCGATATGGTATGGATAGTTAATATATTTTTGTTTTCGATGAGGCAACTCGCCGAATTTTTTTTTTCTTTACCATAAGTGTGACGACATTAGAGATTCTTATTTGTTTTTGCATGATTTGGAATAGGAGCGAAAAATACATGATTTACTTCAAAATCTTAAATAATATTTTATTTAATGTTTACATTATAAGTTTAACCAACACAAATTGTAGCTTAATGTAGTTTCTGGATACTGTATTGCACCATAGTTCTGTGAATCATCACTTAATTGTTACACAAAAATAATAAATTTTTGGTACGTGTATATTTATAACATATGTTTTTTATATGAAGTAAAAAATAAAGCATAAATTAAAATCTTTATAGAATGACTAAGGTAGCAAATATCTCTTAAATTAAAATTGTGCCTGATTATTCCATAGACAAAGTTAAACTGGTGAGAAAACAGATCACTAACTTTTAATTTAGACACAAAGTAATCATAGGCTACTTTCGTTCTTTAATTTTTATTTCAAAACTCAAATACGATATTTAATATTATAGTCAAATAGTTTTAAAAATTATGTTTTTCCTCGGATCTTGCATGGATTCAAGATGCTTTATATATCACACTGTCCTTCTTTAATTTTAAAAGTTATATATTTATTAAATTATGGTTCACGCGCAAAAGGTGTACCTGAAGACGCTTTTCTTTGATACTACGTATATGATTTCTAAAGTCAACTCCTATATATTGTTTAGGTTTTTAAATCTAACCAACTAACAAGTTATTTTCTTATTTAGACATTAATAGGAAACCTTAACGTCATGATTTCAGTTCACACCATCAGGATCTTCTAATCTAATTAAAGAAAAGAAATTAAAAAAAATCCTTATGTTCTCATCTCACCCTACTTCATGTCATTATCTTTACAATGAAAATATATTCTATATAAACCTACTCAAAAAGATGGCCAATACAAACTCCTTACTTCATATGATATATATAGCCATGGAAAATCCAAAACAAGAGGAAAACCTTGTCTCTCTTTATACTTCATCATCAGAAAACCTTCATTTAACAGAAGAAATGAACCAAATTACACAGAATAATGAAACTCATATAGTTTTGGAGAGGTCAGTGGAGGAAGTAGAGAAAATAATAGCATACAAATTCAAGAACCCTAATTTGTTAGAACGAGCTTTTACTCATTCTTCCTTTGAAGAAAACTGTGCTTCGTATGAGAGATTGGAGTTTATGGGTAAGAAGGGGATCTAGAGAAAGTTCTATGTATTCACTTTGCTTTTTGCTAGAACTATATATAATAAGATTAAACTTATTCCGAATTCATTATCTCTGTTTCTTGAATTCACTTCCTGTAGGTGATGCTGCTCTTAATCTGTTGATAGCAACGGAGCATTTTTTGAATTACCCTGATTTACCTCCTGGGAAACTCACAAGGTTGAGAGCTACCAATGTAGATACAGAGAAACTTGCTAGAGTTGCCATCAAATATAATTTGCATGATTATTTACGTCACAATAAACCTTTACTTAAAGGACAAGTAAGTGACAACAAAGAAAACTAGTTTTTTTTATATCTCTTTCTTACTTGTTTTTTATATTCACGATGTTCTACTAAGCAAGTCTGTAAATTTATATTTAAAAAAAATATAAATTTATTTATTGGTTGGCTCGTAAAAATTTTCTCACTCGTTACAAAGAGTTGACTGATGAATGTGGTAAAAAAGAAGACTGTCTTCCAAAGAAATGGTGCATATAACACCCGAGGTATCAAAAAGATAGGAGAGGAAAGTGATATGTATAAAACAAAATACAAGTTGACATGATACGTGTGTTTATTAGTTTATTGTAGTAACGTACTAGGGTAGGGTAATTCAAAGAAATCAGTTTTGGTGAAAAACTTTGATGTGCCCATAGGTGGAAGAATTCAGAGATGCAATAATGGAGTACCCATTGCATTCAACAGGTCTCGTTGATGCCCCTAAAGTTCTTGCAGATATAGTTGAATCTTTGATTGGTGCCATCTATATTGATGGCAATTTCTCCATGAATATAATTTGGCAGGTACTTTTAACTTTTTTCACTTTGAAATATTATACAAATATTCTTTTTCTAGTTTAGTATTTTATGGGCTCATCTGAATCCTCTTCGCTAGAAAATCACTATATATATATTGATGAACCTATTTGGTGAAAATCATGCGTTCACTTACACGTTGCTAACACAACCCGATGTGTATTTTGATGATAGGTGGTAAAAAATTTGTTGCAGCCTCTAATTACTCCAGAAAAACTCGAAATTCATCCAGTTACAAAAATTATCGAGTTATGCCAAAAGAATGGATTGAAAGTAAAATTTGTTGATTCATGGGAGGAAACAGGAGAGGTTGAAGTTCATGTTGATGGCAAACTTGTTGGAAAGGGGAAGTTTAATGGAAAGAAATTAGTTGCAATAAATAGGGCTGCACACAATGGTTATCTTCAAGTTGTCAAAAATTTGAGTGTGAAAAAAACTACTCATGATTACCCTTGTGATGAAAACCTTGTCTCTCTTTATACTTCATCATCAGAAATGAACCAAATTACACTAAATGATGAAACTCATATTGTTCCAGAGAGGTCAGTGGAGGAAGTAGAGAAAATAATAGCATACAAATTCAAGAACCCTAATTTGTTACAACAAGCTTTTACTCATTCTTCCTTTGAAGAAAACTGTGCATCATATGAGAGATTGGAGTATGTAGGTAAGATCTAGAGAAAATTTTATGTATTCACTTTGCTTTTTACTCGAACTATATATATAATAAGAATACACTTATTCCGAACTCAGTATCTATATCTTGAATTCACTTCTTGTAGGTGATGCTGTTCTCAATCTACTGATAGCAACGGCGCATTATTTGGATTACCCTGATTTACCTCCTGGGAAACTCACAAGGTTGAGAGCTGCCAATGTGGATACTGAGAAACTTGCTAGAGTTGCAATTAAATATAATTTGCATGATTATTTACGTCACAAAAAGCCTTTACTTAAAGGACAAGTAAGTAAGAACAAATTTATTTCAGTAAAAATCCTTATAGTGTCCCTTTTCTTACTAGTTTCTAGCTACATTCATGATGTTCTACTAGTAGGTCGGAAAATTTGATAAAAATAATAATACTATATACTCCATCCGTTTCATATTAAATGACGTACTTTCCTTTTTAGTCTGTTCCAAAATAAATGACACATTTCTAAATTTGGAAATAATTCAACTTTAAACTCTTTCATTTTACCCATTTACGCTTAATGAGAAGCTTTTATAACCACACAAATGTTATGGTCCCACAAACTTTTTATCCCTTAAGCTTTTAAGATCACACGTTCCTAAAATCTTTTTCTTTTTTCTTAAACTCCGTGCCGAGTCAAACTACCTCATTTAATATGAAACGGAGGGAGTATATAAATTTATGTAGTGGTTGGTGCATAGAATTTTCTTCCATTTACATGTTAACATTTATTACGGAGAGTTGACGAATGAGTGTGGTCAAAAAGAGGACCGAGTCTTTTAAAGAAATGGTGCATATAATACCTTAGGTATCAAAAAGGTAGGAGAAGAAAGTACTGAAGTATTAGATATATGTGAGACAGAACACAAGTTTATATGATACTCGTGTTTTTTTGAGTTTATTGCAGTAACATTCAAGAGTAGAGTAATTTAAAAAAAAAAAAATAATCAGTTTTGGTGACAAAGTTTGATGTGTCCACAGGTGGAAGGATTCAGAAATGCAATAATGGAGTACCCATTGCATTCAACAGGTCTCATTGATCCCCCTAAAGTTCTTGCAGATATAGTTGAATCTTTGATTGGTGCAATCTATATTGATTGCAATTTCTCCATGGATACAACTTGGAAGGTGCTTTAGATTTTTTCACTTTGAAATATTATACAATATTCTTTTTCTAGCTTATCATTGTATCTTTGGAGGTATAGGCGAAGCTAGAGGACATAAGGGTTCATTTGAATTCGATTCGCCGAAAAATGACTCTATATGATGAACCTTTTTTGTGAAAATCCTGCATCCATCTGCACATTGCTAACACAATACTATGTGTATTTTGATGACAGGTGGTAAAAAATTTCTTGCGGCCTCTAATTACTCTAGAAAAACTCGAGATTCATCCCGTTACGAAAATTAACGAGTTATGCCAAAAGAATGGATTGAAAGTTGAATTTGTTGATTCATGGGGGGAAACAGGAGAGGTTGAAGTTCATGTTAATGGCAAAATTGTTGGAAAGGGGAAGTTTAGTGGAAAGAAAATAATTGCACAAAATAGGGCTGCACACAATGCTTATTACCAAGTTGTTACAAATTTGAGTAAGGAAAAAACTACTGATGATTACCCTTGTGATGAAACACAAAGCTGAAATAAGCATTAATTTGCATATTTCATATTTATTATCTGTCATTTAAATTTCGATTTTAAAAAAAATGTTTTTTTGCATGTAATTTCATAGTAATCTCGTGAAAGCGAGAGAAAACAAATATTGCTTTTTGGAAAGCATTTTAACGTGTTTCAATCCATAATATTTTGTGTTCTTGGTTACATCACCTTTATTATTTTACTGTCAATACTATTCTTTTTTACCCCTATTATCATCTAAATTTATTTATTTCTGTATTTTCCAAACCTGCTTTGAAAATGCTTTTCTTGAGTTGAGAGTTTATCGGAAACAACTTCTCTACCTCACACAAGGTAGGAGTAAGATACATCGCACGCTCCTCGGACCCAGAGGCGGATCCATGATTTAAGTTCTATGTGTTCAATCTTCAAGATTTTTGGCATTGAACCTATTATATTTTTAAAGTTATGGGTTCATATCAATTATTTATTGCAATTATAGTGATTTTTACTCGTAAATTTATGCCCCACGATAAAAATATTGGGTTCAGTTGAACTCGATAACTTTAAGCTCCATCCGCCCCTGCTAAGACCCTACTTATAGGATCACATTGGATATGTTATTATTTTTATTGATTCTGTCACCTAGATATAATTACAATATGTCGTATCAAAAGGAAATACAAAGTAGAAGACGTGCAAACTGAGAATAATGAAGATTTGGATGGTTAAACTCGGATAGTAAGGTCAGTAATACTCCATAACAATAAATCAAAATTGAAAGATGGACGTAGAACAATAAAAATTTAAAATAGATGCTTAAACTGTATTAACGGAATATATTGTTTCCATTAATTAAAAAGAGTTTAAGTTGTATATTAATGGCATAACGATATTTGCGGAGTCATATTGTGATGACCCAAAAGGTCATCATTTGTTTTAGAAATAAATTCTGTGTTTCGAGGCCTTAAAAACCTCTTTCTGTCTCACATCGATTTGCGTGCGCAGTTTGGGCGCGTATCCGGTAAGCCATTATATAAAAATCTGTGAAAAATGATAAATTTTGCATTTAAAATAAATTTATGTTGACTTCGGTTAAAATTTTGGGTAAAAGGACCCGGACCCTTGATTTGACGGTCCCGAAGGGTCCGTAGGAAAATATGGGACTTGGGTGTATGCCCGGAATCGAATTCCGAGGTCCCAAGCCCGAGAAATGAATTTTTAAAGAAATATATTTTCTGGAATATATATGAGTATTTGGAAATGAAATATGTTTGGAATTCGATGGTATCGGGCCCGTATTTTAGTTCCGGAGCCCGGTACAGGTCTTATATGTGATTTAACTCGAGCCTGTAAAATTTGGTAAGAAACGAAGGTCATATGACGTGATTCAGAATCTTAGTTGTAAAATTTGAAACTTTGAAAGTTCTTGAGATTTTCTTTGATTTTGATGTTAAATTCATAGTTGTTGATGTAATTTTGGTGATTTGATTGCATGAGCAAGTCCGTATGATATTTTTGGGCTAGTGTGCATGTTTGGTTTGGAGCCCCGAGGGCTCGGGTGAGTTTTGGTTAGGCCACAGAGTGAAATTTGGACTTAGGAAATTTCTGGTGTGTTGCAGGCCTGCAGGCTGCGCAATTGTGAAGCCTGGCTGGCAAATGCGAACAATATGTCGCAAATGCGAATTTTGGCCTGGGTTGCCTTGGTCGCAAATGCGAAGAGGACTGGAATCCTCAGGGTTCGCAATTGCGAACCCTGGTCGCAATTGCGACATCTGTAACCTACAAATTCATGACTTAACCGAAAATCTTTCATTTTTCAAACTCTTTCAAAACATAAACCCTCTTGGGCAATTTTCCAAAGAAAAGTTATTCTTCAAATCGATTGTAAGTCATTTCTAACTCGTTTTCTTCAATATTTAATATCTTTTCACATGATTTCAACTCAAAATCAAGGGTTTTCATGGGGGAAATTGGGTGTTTTGGGTAGAACCTAGGTTTTTTCAAATTTTGGGGGGTTTTGGACCTCGATTTGAGGTCCGATTTCAAACCAAATTATATATTTGGGTTTGTGGGGAAATAAGTAATTGGGTTTTGGTTCGAACCTCGGGTTTTGACCATGTGGGTCCGGGGGCAATTTTTGACTTTTTGGGAAAAACTGTAGAAAACCCATTTTCATACATTAGAATTGATTCCTCTAGTGTTTATTGATATAGTTAAATTACTTGTGGCTACATACGAGCGAATTTGTGGTGGAATCAAGAGGTAAAGCGGTAATTGAGAATTGAATTGTATTCGTGGCATCAAGATAACTGTTTGGTCTAACCTTAGCTTGAAGGATTAGGAGTTGTGTCCTATTTGCTATGTATTATTTGTTGAGTATGACGTATAGGCATGATGACGAGTATCTATACGTTGGTGTCAAGCATGCTCCTGAGTCTTATACTATATTAATGTGACTCCGTTTGTATTGTTCAAACCTTATGTGATGATTTCTATTGTTGAGCAAAACTTGTGGAAGTAATATTGGTATTTGAATATTGAAGAGCGTTGACTCAAGTTGTAAAACGAATTGTGGAAGTATTATTGGCAATTGAATCTTATATAGCATTGGCTCAAATTGTGAATTGAGTTGCGAAGTAAATGTAAAAAAAAAAGAAGAAAAGAGAATTATGAAATTGTCTCCCTTGTCGGGATGTTGTTGTTTAATGTTGTCTCCTTTGCCGGGATGCTATTGTTGATATTGTTTCCCTTGTCAGGATATGACTGTGGTTCTATTGTTCCCTTGCCGGGATTTAATTGTAAATTTATTGATCCTCTTGCCCTTATTACTTTGTGATTGTTGTTTGGGTGAGGAAGAGTGTTAAAGCATGAAGGGTGATGCCGTGCATTATTTTGGTGAGAGAGTGTTAAAGCACAAAGGGTGATGCCGTGTATGATTTTGTGAGTAAGAGTGTAAAAGCACGAAGGGTGATACCGTACCGCACGATGTACAATTCCGTGCCGATTATATTGATTTTATGGTGAGGACGAGAGTAAAAGCACGAAGGGTGATGCCGTGCAGATTATATTGATTCTTATGGTGAGGACGAGAGTAAAAGCACGAAGGGTGATGCCGTGCAGATTATATTGATTCTTATGGTGAGGACGAGAGTAAAAGCATGAAAGGTGATGTCGTGCACTTGTTTGATTTCTGATTCTTGTTGATAATTGAGTTATGGTATTCCTTATACTTTCCTGATGTTCTTTTGTTATTAATTGATGTTTCCCCGCAGCATGTTTCCCCCTCCCATCCTTAACTGTACCTTCCTATTTTTATTTTCCGCGGTATATGATTTAACTGCACAGGTTTATTTGGTAGTCTGGTCTTAGCCTCGTCACTACTTTGCCGTGGTTAGGCTAGGCACTTACCAGCACATGGGGTCGGTTGTACTGATACTACACTTTGCATTGTGTGCAGATCCCGGTGCAGTAGCTTTTGGACCTTAGCTTTGGGGTTGCTGGCTTCAGTCCATTCGGAGATCCGAGGTAGTGCTGCAGGCGTCCGCAAGCCTTGGTGTCTCCTTCTATCCTTTTATCCTGTTTCTTTTATGTATTTTAGAGACAGTATTGTAATAACTCTTTCGGACCTTTATTTGTAGTATTCCTAGACAGTCTGTGAAATTATGACACCGGTCTTGGGTAGTTTATGTATGGATTGGTATTGGTGTCAAGTAGCTCCAGACTCCAGTAGCTCAACCAATTAGAGCAATTCAGCCGGGTGTGGTAGCTCAGACCGGTGATGGAGCAGCTATGTCTACTGATGCCTTGTGGAGATTGGACAGGTTTACCAAGCTCTTCAGTACCACTTACAGCAGTGCATCTTTTGAGGATCTCCAGGATTATCTAGACAACTGTCATGAGGTTCTCAGTAACATGGGGATATTGGAGACCAACAGGGTCGACTTTGCTACTTTTTGCTTGTCTGGATCCGCCAAGACTTGGTGGAGATATTATTGTTTGGCTAGGCCAGTTGGTTCACCAGCTTTGACTTGAGATCAGTTTTCTCAGCTATTTCTGGAGAATTTTCTTCCTATTACTCAGAGGGAGATCTATCGGAGGCAGTTTGAGTGTCTCCAGCAGAGTTCTATGACTGTTACTTAGTACTAGACTAGGTTTATTGATTTGGCCCATCATGCTCTACTTATACTTCCTACTGAGATAGAGAGAGAGAGTGAGGAGGTTTATTGAGGGACTCATTCAGCCTATTTGACTTCAGATGGCTAAGGAGACGGGGAGTGAGATTTATTTTCAAGAGGTGGCCAATATGGCTAGGAGAGTTGAGATGGTTCTATCATAGGGAGGTGGTCAGGGGTCTGACAAGAGGCCTCGTCATTCAGGCAGATTTAGTGGTGCCTCGTCTAGAGGCAGAGATTCGTATGGTAGAGGCCATCCTCCTAGGCATTTTCAGTCAGCACTTCAGGTTTCTCATAGTGCTTCAGGTGGCCGTGGTTCTCATATGCAGTATTCTGATTAGCAGTCCTATAGTACACCACCAGCTCCTATCAGTGCACTGCCGCTCCAGAGTTTTCGGGGTGGTCATTTAGGTCGTCAAGGTCAATAGTCTCAACAGCCGAGGGCTTGTTATACTTGTGGCGATATGGGGCATATTGCTATATTTTGCCCTTGAGCATCGAGTAGCTCTCAACATCAGGGTTCCCGTGCCATAGTTCAGGAACCGAGTGTTCCACAGCCCGCTCAGCCAGCTAGAGGCAGAGGTAAAGGTGCTAGAGGTAGAGGTACAAGTATTAGAGGTGGAGGTCAGGCTGCTAGGGTGGAGGCCAGCCAGTAGCAGGCTGTCCTAGAGATGTAGTTTAGAGTGGTGGGGCCCAACCACGATGTTATGCTCTTCCAGCTAGGCCTGAGGCTGAAGCTTCCGATGTAGTTATCATAGGTACTGTTCTGGTTTGTAGTAGAGATGCTTCAGTTCTATTTGATCCAGGGTCTACATACTCATATGTGTCATCTTATTTTGCACCGTATCTG